AGCACCGGGTGGCTCAGTCATTAAGCTCTGCCTTTGGCTCAGGTCATGATCCCAGGGTTCTGGAATCAAGCCCTGCATCTGGCTTTCTCCTCCGTGGGAAACTGCTTCTCCCTCACCCACTCCCCCTGCTTGTGCTCCCTCTCTCGCTGTCTCTCTATCAAATAAATAAATAAAATCTTTAAAAAAATTTTTAAAAACTTAAAAAAAAAAAAAGATTTGAAGTGACTCCTTTGTTTGGGAGTCACCAAGCTTGAATGTTTAAAACATCCTGCCATATTTGGTAGAGAGGGGAAATTGAAAGGCTCCTTTTGTCACGAAGTACTCTTTTTTTTTTTTACCCCAGAGATTTTATTCATTTATTTGACAGAGAGAGAGAGCGCGCAAGCAGGCGGGAGGAGCATAGGGAGAGGGAGAAGCAGGCTCCCTGCTGAGCAGGGAGCACAATGTGGGACTCAGTCCCAGGACCCTGGAATCACGACCTGAGCTGAAGGCAGCTGCTTAACCGACTAAGCCACCCAGGCATCCCTCACTAGGTACTCTTGTAGGGTTGTGAGATGTGCTGGTTTTAGTTGCTATCAGAGAGGTCTAATGAGTAATAGATATTTGAGATCTGAAGGCTTTTGGGGAGTTAGGGAGTCTCAAGGTAGGAGTATACTAAAATTGGACCAGTCTGATCATTATCTACCTTACTTTATTTTATTTTTAAAAATGTTTTATTTATTTATTTGAGAAAGAGAGAGAATGGGGGCTGGGGCAGAAAGAGAAGGGAAGAATCTCAAGCAGACTCCAAGCTGAGTGTGGAGCCTAGTGCGGGGCTCAATCTCACAACTCCACGATCATAACCTGAGCCGAAATCAAGAGTCAGTTGCTCAACTGACTGAGCTTCTCAAGCACCCCAATCTGCCTTACTTTCAAAGAAAAACTTTAGGGGCAGCTGGGTGGCTCAGTCAGTGGGGTGTCTGACTTTGGCTCAGGTCATGATCTTGGGGTCGTTGGGACTGAGCCTCATGTCAGGCTCTGTGCTCAGTGGAGAGTCTGCTTCTCCCTCTCCTTCAGCCCCTTCCCCCTGCTTCTGTGTGCACTCTCTCTCTCTCTTTCAAATAAATAAATAAAAATCTTTAAAAAAAAAAAAAGAAAAACCTTAAAAATTGTAAAAGTGACACATTTCCTTTGCAGAAAACTTGGGAAAAAATAGATAAATAAGAAGAAGAGAGTAAAAATCACCTCTACTCCTAGCATTCAAATTATGAATTTTACGTATGTTTTTGTGAGAGGGAGGCAGAGTAATGGTACAGTGGGGTCTGGATATATGGAGTGGGGTGGGTTCAATTTCCAGCTCCTTTGCTCAGTAATGGCATGACCTTGGGGAAGCTATTTAATGTCCTCACACCTCAGCTTCTTCATCATTGCCATGGGAATATTAATAAAGTCCACTTAATTGATTACTATATTATGACAGTCAAGTGAATTCATACATATAAAGTGCTTAGACTAGTTCCTGGTGCATAGTAAGTACTCAATAAACGTTAGCTGTTCTAGATTTTTAGTGGAAGTATAATTAACATGGTCTTATAGTAGTAAGTAATAAGAATTTAACAGGGGTAAGAGTGTTGGAAAGGGAAAAAGAGTAGATGTGAAAGCTATTCTGAGGACAAAGTTGGTAAAATTTGGCAAAGAGAAAGAAGAGAGCATAGCAGGCAAGGGTCTGGAGCTGTGGTATCCAGATATGGTAGCCACTAGCCTTGTGTGGCTATCGAGCAATGAAAATGCAGCTACTATAGCTGAGGAAATGGATTTTTTAAAAAAAGATTTTATTTACTTATTTGAGAGAGAAGGCTATACAAGCAGGGGGAGTGGGAGAGGGAGAAGCAAACTCCCCATTGGGCAGGGAGCCCGATGCGGAGCTCGATCCCAGGATCCTGGGATCATGACATGAGCTGAAGGCAGAGGCTTTAACCCACTGAGCCACCCAGGTGCCCCAGAAACTTAGTTCCTAACTAAGAAATTAAGTTTCTGTTCCAAGTCCGGTATGTGTGTTACACTTTACAGCATGACTCAATTCAGATGCTAAATTTTCATAAAAAATACTGGATCTCTATTTAGATTTCATTAAATTTCTGGTTAAGAAAGTAGATGGGGACCCCTGGATGGCTCAGTTGGTTAAGCAACCGACTCTGGATTTCTGCTTAGGCTGTGATCTCAGGGTGGTGAGAATAAGTCTGGAGAGCTCCGCTCTCAACAAGGAATCTTCCTCTCTCCCTCTCCCTCTGCCCGTCCCCCTACTTGCACCCTCTGTCTCTAAAATAAATAAATAAATCTAAAAAAAAGAAAGAAAGTAGATGCACATACCCAAGTAGTTCCAAGCACAGCTGACAAATTTTCAATGACTGAGTTGAGTGTGCATTTTAACTTTTTTTTTTTTTAAGATTTTATTTATTTATTTGATAGAGATCACAAGTAGGCAGAGAGGCAGGCAGAGCGAGAGAGAGAGGAGGAAGCAGGCTCCCTGCTAAGCAGAGAGCCCCATGTGGGCTCCATCCCAAGACTCTGGGATCATGACCTGAGCCGAAGGCAGAGGCTTTAACCCACTGAGCCACCCAGCACCCCTAACTGTAACTTTTGATTAAAATTAAATAAAATTAAAAATCCATTTCCTTGGAGTGCCTGAGTGGCTCAGTCAGTTTAGTGTCTGCCTTCTGCTCAGGTCATGATCCCGGAATCCTGGATCGAGCCCTTCATTGGGCTCTCTGTTCGGCGGGGAGCCTGCTTCCTCCTCTCTCTGTGCCTGCCTCTCTGCCTACTTGTGATCTCTGTCTGTCAAATAAATAAATAAAATCTTAAAAAAAAGAAACTAAGTTTCTAACAGGACTTAGTACAGAAAAAATGAATGCGAAACATCTCAATAATATTGCATGCTGATGGCATTTGAAATGTAGTGTTAAAATTAATTTCACCCGAAAAATATAATTTCACCTGTGTCTCTATACTTTTTCAAATGTGCTTACTGGTAATTTTAAAACCTTGTATGTGGTTCGCATGTTTCTGTCGTTGGTGTTGACTTGGCCGTGACAACTGACTTTTGGGCAAGATACTCACCTGTCTTCTTCTCAATTTTTTCATTTGGAAAATGGGGATAATTTATATCTTTTATGGATTGGTGGGAGGATTAAGCAAAATAATGCTTACAGTGTTTTGCAAAATGCATAGCGTAGAGTCAGTGCTTAATGTTGTGTTTGTTACTGTTTTATGATCTGCTTTTTGAAAATTGAGGAATGGGACTGAGCTCCAGATTGCCTTATTCCCTTTTGGCATATTAATACTATTTTTAAATAGCTTTATTATTTTTGTAACAATGGTACATTCTTATTCTAAAATATCAGGAAGTATAGAATGTGAACAGGGATGCAAAACTTACCCAAAATTTCATAACTGGCTAACATCACTATAAACACTTTGTTGCATATTTCCAGACTTCCTTCTATACTTGTAGACTTTCTATACTTCTACACTTAAATGTAGAGATATAGGGACGCCTGGGTGGCTCAGTTGGTTGGACAACTGCCTTCGGCTCGGGTCATGATCCCGGAGTCCCGGGATCGAGTCCCTCATCGGGCTCCCAGCTCCACGGGGAGTCTGCTTCTCCCTCTGACCTTCTCCTTGCTCATGCTCTCTCTCACTGCCTCTCTCTCAAATAAATAAACAAAAATCTTAAAAAAAAAAGTAGAGATATAAATATATAATTTTCCATAAATGGGATCATATCATACATGCTGTGTCATAACCCTTTTTTTATGCAAGAATTTACAAAAGACATCTCTATCTGTTAATAAATATAGGTCTAACTTCATCATTTTAAAGGCTACATAGAGTTCTGTAGCATGTATAGCATATAATCTATTTAACCAACCAATTCAGATGGCTTCTAAATCCTATTGCTCTCAACAATACTGAAATGAATGCTTTTGCATATATATTTGTAAACATTTGCTCAATTGTTATCCTGTTAACTCCTTAGCTATATTCCATACATGAAGATTCCTTGATCAAAGAGCACATATATATTTTTTAAGGTTTTATTTATTTATGTGACAGACAGAGATCACAAGTAGGCAGAGACACAGGCAGAGAGAGAGAGAGAGAGAGAGGAGGAAGCAGACTCCCCATTGAGCAGAAAGCCCGACTCGGGGCTCAATCCCAGGATCCTGGGATCATGACCTGAGCCACAGGCAGAGGCTTTAACCCACTGAGCCACCCCGGCACCCCACAAGAGCACATATATTTTATATTGCTCCCTATTATCCAATTTCTCTTTTGGGGAAATTGCATCAATTTTATTTTCCATGAACTCTGCATGTCCTCACCTTTTCTCATATCTCTGGCAATAATGTCAGTCCTTTCAAACTTGACAAATGGGGCGGTAGGCAACACACACACCCCTTTGTTTTTGCTTGGCCCCTAGCTGAAGGACCCCTCCTGTTTCAAGAAGGACCCAACCTAGAGCTCCCAAGAGACCTTAGAGTGTTTCTCGAAGCTATTACTGCAACTGAGGGACAGACTCTTACTCATTCTATAGCAAGCAATACAAACAAATCCCTATACATCAGTCTTTTTCTAAATTGCTTCTCAGCTTCTTCTCCCTCCACCAGCAAGCAGTGCTCTTGGCCACGCTGCCTCCAGCTCCCCTCTCCCCTCTTTCACCTTTCCCCGTGTAAATGGCCCTGGGGAGGAACTGGGCTTGGAAAGCAACTTGATACTCCCAAATAACCAATGCAATTGATTTGCAAATTCGGTTCAATGATATGAAAGAAAAGCAGAAGATATGACAAGGAGACCTAACTGTAGATCGTGGATCTACCCTAGATGGTAGATGGGGAAGGTGACAGCTGGCCTCTCTGAGGAGCGGGTTTAAGCGGAGAGCTGAATGAAAGCTGTGGAGAAGTTTGGCAGGTGAAAAGGAGTGGACAAGCTTGCAGGCAGGAAAGAGTCTGTGCCGCTTTCTCTTCCGGTCTGAGGCGCTTCGGGAGCCGCGGGCTTCGGGGCAGACATGGCCAAGTCCAAGAACCACGCCACGCACAACCAGTCATGAAAATGGCACAGAAATGGCATCAAGAAACGCTGGTCCCAAAGATACGAATCTCTTAAGGGGGTAGACCCCAAGTTCCTGAGGAACATGCACTTTGCCAAGAAGCACAACAAGAAGGGCCTGAAGATGCAGGCCAACAACGCCAAGCCCATGCGTGCACGTGCCGAGGCTATCAAGGCCCTCGTCAAGCCCAAGGAGGTCAAGCCCAAGATCCTAAAGGGCGGCAGCTGCAAGCTCAATCGACATGCCTACATCGCTCACCCCAAGCTCGGGAAACATGCTCGTGCCCACATTGCCAAGGGTCTCAGGCTTTGCCGGCCAAAGTTCAAGGCCAAAGCTCAAGCCAAGGCCCAGGCTTTGGCTGCAACTCCAGCTCCAGCTCCAGCTCCTGCTGCAGCTCGGACTCCCAAAGGTGCTCAGGCCTCCACAAAGGCTCCAGTGTAGAGGCTTCTGTCTGCCAGTGTGAGGACAGAAGGACTGGTATGACCCCTGGGCTTCTATCCGCATGGGATTGGTGTCCTCCTGTGCTATTTGTACCAATAAACCTGCGGCAGGATCTGTTAAAAAAAAAAAAAAAGAAAAGAAAAGAAAAAGTCTGTGCCTAGGAGACAGAGAGAAGGCCAGTGTGGCTGGGCAACATCAATTTACACTTGCAAAATGAGAAATGTATATCCCCATTTTGAAGTTTCAAAGCCATTAAAAGAAGATATCTTAAGCAAAAGTCCCGGAGGGTATTGTTTGTTTAAAAATTGTTATTTATTTTTCCATCATAAGGTAATATATGCCCATAATAATAGCTTACACTTATTGAGTTCCCCAAGTGACCTACAGGCAGGAACCCATTTGGTCCTTATAAGAACTCTGTGAGGTAGGCACCCCACCTCCATTCCACCCCTTCCCTCTCCTCTTGCTCCACTCTCTCCCACAGCCCTCTAGGCCCTCCGGCATGTAGTTTACATACATACATCTGTATGCACACACACACACACAACATTTTTTTCTAATTGTCCATATTTTCTGACTAGAATATAAACTCTGTGAGGGCTGGTATTCTTGTACATTTTAATCATTTCTAATTTCCCAGTGCCTGCCACAGAGAGATTAGCCTGCCAGAGGTTACTTGACTGGAAAGAGAGCAGGAACTCAAGCAGCTGGGCTCTTCCCCACCGTCCTATTTTCTGCGTGTCAGCCCCAGTTGTGCAAAGGGTAGAAGCCTAGAAGTAAAAGTTTCCCCTCCCCGCCCCTCACAAGTCCCCAAAGGCTAACCTCTGTCAGCTCCTGCTTCGATATTCTTCTTGAAATATCTTGTGCCTCTACAAGCACATCTATTTTTTAGCCTTCTCTACAAATCAGATCAGAATATGTGTCCTGTTCTGTATTTTATTGTTTTCCTTACTACAGATCCACATCTTTATTTTTAACAGCTTCATGGTGGTTTGTGATAAACATGTGCCGCGATTTGCTAAAGCAAATTTGATGACTAGGTCAATTCCAGTCATTTATATGGTAACAGAGCTGCAGTGACTGTCCTCCTATGTGTACTGAGGCAACTTGTCTGAGTCTGTCAAAGAGTCCAAGTGTTTAGCATTTTAATAGAGGTGTGCCAGGTTGGGAGCATGGATTTTTAAAGACAGCATTAGCCTTCTCCATCTGCAGTCAGATGGAGGAGGGAGGCCTTGTCTGGGAGGGCCGCCGCCACTGTCTTCTCCCCCAGGAATCACGGAGACCCAGAGGGCCGGTCTGCAGAGCCTGACGGCTCTATCAAGCTGCCAGCTTTTCCCAGTCAGGACAGATGGGCCTGATGGCTAATTCTGCCAGATTTTCAGAAAATAATTTGGTCCAACTCAGAGCTCTTCCTCAGTCTGTATCATTCCTCTAGTAAAGTGATAAAAACTGTGCCGTTTGTCACATTTCTTCCTAAGCTCTCCTTCTATGTCATACCAGATAAAGCACAGAACAGATAATTATAGTTAGTGCTTGACAGCTGCCAAAAGAAAATATATTTTTCATACTTCCTAGCTCTGTGCTTTTCAAAATCTTTTTAAATCTGAGAACCCTAATGTGAGGTTATCACCCATTCTTCTCCTTCGATTTGACACGTGTTATTAAAAGCATTTTTAAAAAGACCCACAGAACTCTGCAGGGTAGAAAAAAATAAAGTGGCTTTCACAGGCCTAGGGCATGATTTTCTAAATCAGAATTGTGCTGATGATACAATAAAATGCAAAAATCCGTAATAATAATTGGATTTTAATGTAATAAGCCTGCATCCTTATTGGAATGCCCCTCTTCTTACCCCATGCACAACAGTCAAGGAAAGCTGTTTCTCAATTAGAAAGGAAACTGAAATTGGCTAATTTTCTGCTTGAAGTTGATTACTTTGCCCTCCAACCTCAATCACATGAAGATAAAAGAGTGGCAAGTAAGCCACCAAGAGAAAAGATAAAAGGAAGCATCAAGTGTATCCATTTGTTTGACTTGCTTCAGATTCTCCTAAGGGTGATGCTGGCTCAGGACAGCACGTCAGAAAAGTCAGGTGCACCCAGCCTGCTCCATAAATCTTGAATTAATGGCTCAATTTATTTTCCTTGTAAAACTTTTTTTTTTTAAAGATGAGGGCTAGAGCTTCCCTTTGCAAATATTGAGCTATATAAATCATCCATACAAGAAAGAAAAGGGCTATGACCAAATACAGAATAAGAAACAAGGTAGCAGGAAGTCAGAAGGAAACAAAGAACTATGGGGAGGGGGAGAAGGCATATTTTTAAAAGGATACATAGAGTTTTTAGTCCTGGATTATCCAAAAGATGAGTCCTGATTTTTATATTCACCAGCTCGTTTTTCTCGGATGGAGATAGATTTGGGTAACATTTCAGAAGAATGGGTGATCATGGCCAGTGTGCTTTATTGTCTTTGATGTAATTATCATTTTAGTCAGATGATGAGCAAACAATGGGGGTGGGCATGAATGAAGATGAGCAGATAAAGGTGATGTCGCTGGGCATACGCCACAATTTTCAGGAGCTTCTCTGAAAGATGAGACATCCTCTTGATTTTTAGATAACTTAAAAATGTCAGGTTTTTGTTTCCAATTATGATTGATACGCCATTAAAATCCCTATTTTATACTCGCAGAAACTGAGGACCAAGGAGATCAACAGGTTGGTTCACTCTGGGGAGTGTCGTTTAGATATAAAACTGTGACCTCACCAAAAGCTGGTGTCAGGGTAGATCTCAGTGGCCACCCAGACAAAGGCAACCTCACAGGCTCCCTAAGACAGCCAGGTGAGCGCTTACCCTCAAGTGGGTCTTATTGCTTGACAATTACCAACGTTTTAAAGATTTATTCATTTATGTATTTGACAGACAGAGATCACAAGTAGGCAGAGAGGCAGGCGTGGGGGGGGGGGCGGGGGTGGAAGCAGGCTCCCCGCTGAGCAGAGAGCCTAATTCCGGGCTTGATCCCAGGACCCTGAGATCATGACCTGAGCGGAAGGCAGCAGCTCAACCCCTGAGCCACCCAGATGCCCCACAATTACCAATGTTTTAAAAAAATACTTTTACCCCAGAGAATGAGAGGCTCACTATTTATGGAGTAGACCCCTACAATTGGGGTAAAAAGTATTCTTTTTTAAACTTTGTAACTGTGAAGCAACCTGACAGCCCCATTGTCTCCAATACTCATTTCCTCTGGTGACAGATACTGTTCATATTAGTACCTGGTCCCAGAGAACAGTGATCATCAGAGTACTCACAGTTTGAAAACATTAATGACAGATTTCCTCTAGAGATCATGGACCATTGTCAAGTTTTCTCCGTACTTATTTTTTCCTCTTATATTTTTAATCCTCTGAAATTTGAAATAATTCATCCACCAGGTATTTTTTGAACATCATGGACTGAAAAAGAGACATGGGAGAATTGTAGGACATGAAACTGGCACTGATGGCACTTACAGCCTTTCAAGGAACAAGCATTTACAAACAGAGATCGGTGCATGATAGAATGAGGCCAGAGAGGGAGGAGCAGCAGGCAGAGCACAGTCTCTGGAGACTGGCTTTGTACCCTGGGTACAGCTTCACCGGCTGTCAGATTCATTTATCAAAGGAGCTAATCATATTTAATTTGAAGCATTTTTGTGAATGTAGAAATGAGAAATAAGATGTGCACAGTATGACTCTTTGTATTTGTTTGCTAGGGCTGGGGGTCCTAAAGCAACAGAAATCTATTCTCTCACAGTTCTGGAGGCAAGAAGTTCAGGTTCCAGGTGTCGTGGTGCTATGCTCTGTCTGATGGCTCTAGGGAGGAATCTTCTTTTCTCTTCTTAGCTTCTGGTGGTTGCTGGCAATCCTTGGCAGTCCTGGCTTTGTGGCTGCATCACTTCAATCCCTGCTCCGTTGTCACATGGCCTTCTCCTCCTGTGTCTCCGTGTCTTCACATGGCCTTCTTATTAAGGACATCAGTTACTGAAGTTAGGGTCCATCCCTACTCTAGGATGACCTTGTCTTAACTGATTGTATCAGCAAAGACCCAATTTCCAAGTAAGGTTATATCTTCTGAGGCTCTGAGTGGACATGAATTTTGGAGGGACACTATTCAACCACAACAACATCACGTAGTAAGTTCTCAGTAAGTCAAAGTGATTATGTTATCAGAAGCCAAAGTGCAAATGAACAGAGAAAAATTATTTCAGTATGGGCTGGAGTGGTTAAGAGAGCTTCTCAAAAGACGTGAGAAAGTCAAGCAGGGCCTTAGGGAAAAGGTAACGTTGTTTGATCGATTGATTTGAAGATTTATTTATTTTAGAGAGAGCACACACATGAGTGGTGGGGGGTCGGGTGGGGAAGAGCCCAAGTGAGAGGGAGAGAGAATCTCAAGCACACTCCCCACTCAGTGGGGAGCCCCATCCCACCACTCTGAGATCATGACCTGCCAAAATCTAGAGTTAGATGCTTAACCGATTGAGCCACCCAGGTGCCCCTAGAGAAGTGGTAATATTTAGATAAGAACTGAAGGTGAAGGAGGGTCTATCGGGTGGGGAGAACAGAGTATGAATATTTAACACCAAGGTTACTAACCTTGTAAAATCAGCTCTTAATGAGACAGAGATCTCCTCTGATCCAACAGGAATTAAAAACTATAATCTTTTTTTTTGAGTTGATAAGCCCATATGTTGTCTATTTTTATCTATTATCTACTTCTTTATAACAAATTGCCCCAAAACTTAGTGGTTTAAAAAAACCAAACATTCATGATCTCAGTTTCTGTGGGTCAGGAATTCAGGCCTGGCTAAGCTGGCCGAGTCTGGCTCAGAGTCTCTCATGAGGGTATGGTCAAGAGGTCAACCGGGGTCGCAGTCCTCAGAAGCTTGTTTAGATCTGCTTCCAAGATGATCCACTCATGTGGCTGTTAGCAGGAATGAGTTCCTTGCCTTCTGGGTCTCTTTCTGGAGCTGCCTGGGTGCCCTCATGACATGGCAACCAGCTTCCTCCAGAGAGGGTGGTCAGAGACAGAGAGTGGGGAGGAAGCCTCAGCCCCTTTTACGACCTACTCTCAAAAGTCACACACCATCACTTTCGCCATGTTCTTTCTG